TACCCAATTTTGCCACCATTGAAGCCCCACTGAATGATCTAACAAAAGGTAGGGGGTTGGTTATGATTGAGTAGAATCATGAGGCAGAGACAGCTTTTTAAATGTTTAAACAAGCTCTCTGTTACCAACCTGTGCCCATGACCCCAAATTTCACAAAAGACTTTGTGGTACAGACGGATGCCTCTGATGTGGGACTCGGTGCTGTACTGTCCCAAATCAGAGATGGGGAGGAGCACCCCGTGGTCTTCCTGTGCAGAAAGCTTAATAAACATGAGAAAAATTATGCAATTGTTGAGAAGGAATGTTTGGCCATCAAATGGGCCTCCTCCTGAAATATTACCTGTTGGGGAGACAATTCAAACTGGTTACTGATCATGCCCCTTTCAAATGGATGTGCAATAAAGAGAAAAAAACTGTTGAGTGACAAGGTGGTTTCTTGCACTACAAGCATTTAAATTCACAGTGGAGCATAGAGCTTCAACATCCCATGTCCATTGCTTGGCTGGGACAGTTGCTCAGCCACAGTGGCTTGATCGGGGGAGGGGGAATATGTGACATTTTGAAAGGTGAGGTGATTGATGGTCGCTATGTGTCACCTCACATTCCTTCATATCTGGGAAACTAAGGTGGAGTCTAGTCCAGGTTTTTCAGGCCACTTTGGCAGAGGTGGTTCCGGACCAGATTTTATGGTCCACTGATGACCACCAGCAGGTGGTATAAATCAAGCAGGACTGGAGCAAGAAGTTGCTCTTGGCTTGGGACTCAGGGACCCATACCTGAGAGAGCTGTGGATGAAAGTGTTTGCTTTGTACAAGAAAGCAAAAGGTTTGCATACCATTTTGTTTTTTGGTGACAGGGAGAAGCTCTTCACCTGTGATATAGGAAATCTCCCGTTTAGTTAGTGCCTGGATGGCGAGGGTTTAATTTCTGTTCTGTTTATGATGCATGCAACCTTTTAAATAAACTGGCTACAAGTCAGATTTTAAGAAAGCCCTGCCGTCTGGACTACATTTTTCCTAGGGAAGGTGATCCCCCACCTGGGATAGATATATATATATATATATATATATATATATATACATACATACATATACATATACACACACACACACACACACACACACACACACTGCTCAAAACAATTAAAAGGAACATTCTTTCTATCAGTCTATAGCATCATGTCAATCGAACAGTGGAGATATTGATCTGGCCAGTTAAATAGAAGAGGGGGCTATTAATGAGTTTCAGCTGCTTTGGTGTTAATGAAATTAACAAGTGCATTAGATGGGCAACAATGAGATGACCCCCAAAACAGGAATGGTTTTACAGGTGCAGGCCACAGAAATTTGTTTCCCTACTCATCTTTTCTGGTATTTTTTTTATTTTTTTACTACTTTTGCATTTGGCTAGGGTCAGTGTCACTACTGGTAACATGAGGCAATACCTGGACCCTACAGAGGTTGCACATGCTGTCCAACTCCTCCAGGATGGCACATCAATACATACCACTGTCATAAGGTTTACCGTGTCTCCAAGCACAGTCTCAATGGATGAGGTTCCAGGAGAAAGGAAGTTATGCTAGGAGAGCTGGACAGGCCGTTAGAAGGTCATTAACCCATCAGCAGGACCGGTATCTGCTCCTTTGTGAAAGGAGGAAGAGGCTGAGCACTGCCAGAGCCCTACAAAATGACCTCCAGCAGGCCACTGGGTGTGAATTCCTCTGACCAAACAATCAGAAACAACTTGATAAGGGTAGATTGAGGACCCAACGTCCTGTAGTGGGCCCTGTGTTCACTGCCCGGCACCATAGAGCTTGATTGGCATTTGCCATTGAACACCAGAATTGGCAGGGTCTCCACTGGCACCCTATTCTTTACACAGATGAGAGCAGGTTCACCCTGAACACATGTGATAGACGTGAAAGGGTCTGGAGAAGCCGTGGAGAACGTTATGCTGCCTGTAACATCATTCAGCATGACCGTTTTGGTGGTGGGTCAGTGATGGTCTGGGGAGGCATATCCATGGAGGGATGCACAGACCTTTACAGGTGAGACAATGGCACCCTGATTGCCATTAGGTATCGGGATTAAATCCTTGGACCCATTGTCAAACCCTACGTTGGTGCAGTGAGCCCTGGGTTCCTCCTGGTGCACAACAATGCCTGGCCTCATGTGGTGAGAGAATGCAGGCAGTTCCTGGGGGATGAAAGAACTGATGCCATTGAATGGCCCCCACACTCGCCTGACCTAAATCTAATAGAACACCTCTAAGATATCGTGTTTTGGTCCATCTTACACCGCCAGGTTGCATCTCAGACTGTCCAGGAACTCTGTGATGTCCTGGTCCAAATCTGGGAGGAAATACCCCAGGACACCATCTGTCGTCTCATTAGAAGAATGCCCTGAAGTTGTCAGGCATGCACACAAGCACGTTGGGCCATGCAAACTACTGAGTATCATTCTGAGTTGCTGCATTGAAATTTCAGCAAAATTGACTACCCTGATGCATCACGTTTCCACTTTGATTTTCAGGGTGTCTTTGAATTCAGTCCTCAGTAGGTTGATAATTTTAATTTCCATCAAATGATGGGGCATCCTTACGTTCCATATCATTACCCAGGCCATATCAGATCTGATATGTTTTCAAAATGTTCCTTGTACTAACATACAATTTTGAGGACAACATTTTGGGGTATGTCCCCTTTCTTAAAGGTCCAGGCAGTACATTGAAGAAGGGGACATACTCCAAAAGCTTGTCCTCAAAATTGTATGTTAGTGCAAATAAAAAAAGTATCATGTCAGTACTCAATTGTTTCTGTCGCAAGTGCACTAATACGGCTACAATCACCTCAAGCAAAGTGTTCCTTTTTTTGAGCAGTGATGTGTGTATACACACACACATTATTTTTATATATATATATATATATATATATATATATATATATATTATACACACACACTATATTGCCAAAGTATTGGGACAACCCCTCCAAGTCACTGGATTCAGATGTTCCAATCACTTCCATGGAAACAGGTATGTAAAATCAAGCACCTAGGCATGCAGACTGCTTCTATAAACATTTGGGAAAGAATGGGTCCCTCTCAAGAGCTCAGTAAATTCAATTGTTGTACCATAATAAGTTGCCACCTGTGCAATAAGTCCATCCATGTTCTAGCAACCAATCACCAGCTTATTATTATGAACTCCCAACAGCTCCCGCCTTCCACCCAGCACTGGGCTGTCTACTGATTGACGCTCTGCTGTACACATGCTGGCAGGTAAGAGTGTGCTACCTACACAGCGCTGAGTGCATGTCGGTGGGGGGGGGGGGATGTGAGGTGGACAGAGGACACTGGGGAGGGGTGGGGTGCAGAACACTATTGCGGGGGGAGGGGGGCAGAGGACACTGCTGTGACACATTATTTGCTCATCACACCATCTTTTTATTGGGAGCTAGATAGTTTTTTTTTTTTTTTTTTAAAGGGCGCAGCCTAGAGTCCTCCCCCCTTTCTCCTCACTGGGGATCTCAACCTCTGAAAGGTTGCCTACCCCTGGTTTAAAGCAATGACTACCTAAATTTATCTTAATATCAGGATCTCATAATAGCCTATACAGTCTTAGCAGCAATCAGAGTCAGACAGTATATACACACACGTTGGCAATACAATGCAGTTGAGTACTGTAAGTTGTCTTTATCTCACTGCAGAAATGTGCTCATTATTTAAGAGATGTGCAGAGTGATCAAAATAAATCCATAAACACTAAATATTATAGTAAATTATGATAAACTGCCCATTGAGGCATACCCCAGCAACACCTGTGATATAATATTGGTTTCCATAGTGATGCAATGGTCTTTTTTTTTACCTAATTATTCTACTTTGATTTATTCCTGCTTGTCACACAATGAGTGACCAGGAAAGATCTCATCTGCTAAACTAGCATATGACAATGAAGCCTACTTGCACTGTGCCAGCTTCAGTTAATGTGGTACACAATCACTTGAAAAAAAGATTGCTTGGATCATGTTGTTAAATATTGAAAAATAAATGTTATAAAATTAGTGAAATTTGTTCCTCTTTATAGTGTGCGTATACACACACACACACACACACACACATATATATACATATATACACTATACTATAATTTGGAATGTCTTGTCTCTTTCCGTATATGAAAAATGGAATTAATGGTAAAACATGTTGGCAATCTTATGCTTACAACAGTATCTGACACTGGGCTATTTCATCTTCTTTGCTCCAGCAATGGGGTACTTGGAAATTTCTCAGCACATTTATGTTATCTTACACTCAGTATTATAATTGCAAACTATTTAGTGCGTTATATTTTCCATTCTCTATCCATTTCTTTGTTCCGTGAAACAGCTTTAAACTGTTTTGACAAAAAATGAATTCCAACAACTGTAGATTAGCAGTGTCTAAAGCAGCACTCAACAGTTCATTATATGTTTTTATTGCAAATAGAAAGAATATAAAGACTGCAATCTGCCCCCTCCCCAATCACTATATTTACTATCTATGCCATGCTATGGGGCTTGCACACTCAGCCCACGCTTGTTAACTTATGGTACCTGTATTTTGACGTATGTATAACTATGCTATTGTGTGTACTTCCATATGTTGTTGTATGAAGTTATGATGTGCATCTGTGAATTGTTTATGACATATTTTTTCAAGAAAATGTATTGATAGTCAAAAGAATAAACAGATTTATTTAAATGCACAGCTGTAGTGGAGAAGAAAAGCTAATCAAAATGTTTGAACAGTAGACAATATTAGACTGCCCATTTCTAGTTATGATAATCCTCCAGATAGAGCTGCTGCAACCCCTCAAAAGGTCTTGTGGGTTTTTTGGTATAAGGAGAGTAAGTCACCGCATCCTACAAGAAAATCCAGAAATCTTACTTATTTCCATTAGGTGTTCCAATCACTTCCATGGCCACAGGTATATAAAATAAAGCACCTAGGCATGCAGACTGCTTCTACAAACATTTGTGAAAGAATGGGTCACTCTCAGGAGCTCAGTGAATTCAAGCGTGGTGCCATGATAGATTGCCACCTTTGCAATAAGCATCCATGAAATTTCCTTGCTACTAAATATTCCACTGTCAACTGTCAGTGGTATTATAACAAAGTGTAAGCAACCGGTAATAAACAGCAACTCAGTCATGAAGTGGTAGGCCACGTAAAATGACAGAGCGGGGTCAGGCATGCTGAAGCGCAGTGAGCAGAGGTCGCCAACGCTCTGCAGAGTCAGAAGCTAAAGACCTCCAAACTTCGTGTAGCTTTCAGATTAGCACAACAGTATGTAGAGAGCTTCATGAAATGGGTTTCCATGGCCAAGCAGCTTACATCACCAAGTGCAATGCATAGTGTCAGATGCAGTGTCGTAAAGCACACCACCACTGGACTCTAGAGCAGTGGAGACTGTTCTCTGGAGTAACGAATCACACTTCTCTGTCTGGCAATCAATGGACATGTCTGGGTTTGGCTGTCACCAGGAGAACGGTACTTGCCTGATTGCATTGTGCCAAGTGTACTGTTTGGCGGAGGGGGGTCATGGTGTGGGGTTGTTTTTCAGGGGTTGGGCTTGGCCCCTTAGTTTGTGTGAAGGGAACTCTTAAGGCAGCATAGCAAGACAATTGGCACAATTTCATGCTCCCAACTTTGTGGGAACAGTTTGGGGATGGCCCCTTACTGTTCCAACATGACTGTGCACCAGTGCACAAAGCAAGGTCCATAAAGACATGGATGAGCGAGTTTGGGGTTTAGAAACTTGACTGGCCTGTACAGAGTCCTGACCCCAACCCGATAGAACACCTTTGGGATGAAATAGAGTGAGGAGACTGCGAGCCACGCCTTCTCATCCATCATCAGTGCCTGACCTCACAAATGCGCTTCAGGAAGAACGGTCAAACATACCCATAGACACACTCCTAAACCTTGTGTCCAGCCTTCCCAGAAGAGTTGAAGCTGTTATAGCTGCAAAGGGTGGGCCAACTCATAATGAATCCTACGGTCTAAAACTGGGATGCCATTAAAGTTCATGCTTGTAAAGGCAGGCGTCCCAATACGTTTGGCATTATAGTGTGTGTGTGTATATATATATATATATATATATATATATATATATATATATATATATATGTGTATATGTGTGTGTGTTTTGTTTTTTTTTAATAACATTTTTGTTTGATTTATATTGTGTAATAACACATTTTGCATTTTTTGTGAAATTCCTTGTTACATCTTTGCTCTTCTTTAGAGTTGAGCGAATCGAACCAGGTGAAGTGGAATTCGTTTCGAATTTCAGGAAAAATTTGATTCGCGTCGAATCTACAGCGGTTGAAACATTGTATCTATTTGTTTCCATTTAGGATACAGATGTTTTTATTCGGAAATAAATAGATACAATGTTTCAACCGCTGTCAACCGCTGGAACTGTCAGAGAACTGTCAGAAATAGCGGAGCTCTCTGCAGATACACTTTTTGCTGTACTGGAATACTTCTTCTTTTCATTCTTCTCATTCTTCTTTTCATTCTTTTTCTCATTTCTTTTTCATTCTTCTTCTTCTTTTCATTCTTCTTTTCATTCTTCTCATTCTTCTTTTCTTCTTCATGAAAAGAAAATGAGAAGAAGAATGAAAAGAAGAATGAAAAAAGAAGAATGAAAAGAATGAAAAAGAAGAATGAAAAGAAGAATGAGAAGAAGAATGAGAAGAAGAATGAGAAGAAGAATGAAAAGAAGAATGAGAAGAATGAAAAGAATGAAAAGAAGAATGAGAAGAATGAAAAAGAAGAAGAATGAATGAAAAGAAGAATGAAAAGAAGAAGAAGAATCTTTTCATTCTTTCTTCTTTTTCATTCTTTTCATTCTTTTCATTCTTCTTCTTCTTTTCATTCTTCTTCTTCTTTTCATTCTTCTTCTTCTTCTTTTCATTCTTCTTCTTTCATTCTTCTTTTCATTCTTCTTTTCATTCTTTTTTCTTCTTCTTCTTTTCATTCTTCTTTTCATTCTTCTTTTCTTCTTCATGAAAAGAAGAATGAGAAGAAGAATGAAAAGAAGAATGAAGAAGAAGATTCTTCTTTTCAATGAAAAGAAGAATGAAGAAGAATGAAGAAGAAGAAGAAGAAGAATGAAAAGAAGAATGAGAAGAAGAAAGAAGAATGAGAAGAAGAATGAAAAGAAGAATGAGAAGAAGAATGAGAAGATGAAAAGAAGAAGAGAAGAAGAATGAAAAGAAAATGAGAAGAAGAAGAAGAATGAAAAGAAGAAGAATAGAAGAAGAAGAAATGAAGAAGAAGAACTGAAAAGAAGAATCTTTTCAATTCTTCTTTTCATTCTTCTTTTCATTCTTCTTCTTTTCATTCTTCTTCTTCTTTTCATTCTTCTTTTCTTCTTCTTTTCATTCTTCTTCTTTTCTTCTTCTTCTTTTCATTCTTCTTCTTTTCAAGAAGAATTCTTCTTTTCTTTTCATTCTTCTTCTTTTTCATTCTTCATTCTTCTTCTTCTTCTTCTTCTTTTCATTCTTCTTCTTCTTTTCATTCTTCTTTTCTTCTTTTCATTCTTCTTCTTTTCATTCTTCTTCTTTTCATTCTTCTTCTTTTCTTTTCTTCTTCTTTTCATTCTTCTTTTCATTCTTTTTCTTCTTCTTTTCATTCTTCTTCTTTTCATTCTTCTTCTTCTTCTCATTCTTCTTTTCATTCTTCTTCTTTTTTTCATTCTTCTTTTTCATTCTTCTTCTTCTTTTTCTTCTTTTCATTCTTCTTCTTCTTTTCATTCTTCTTCTATGAAAAGAAGAATGAAAAGAAGAATGAAAAGAAGAATGAAGAAGAATGAAAATGAGAAATGAAATGAAAAGAAGAATGAAAAGAAGAAGAAGAAAAGAATGAAAAGAAGAAAGAAGAAGAAGAAGAAAGAAGAATGAAAAAGAATGAAAAAAAGAAGAAGAAAAGAATGAAAGAAAGAAGAAGAGAAGAAGAAAGAAAAGAAGAATGAAAGAAGAATGAAGAAGAAGAATGAAAAGAAGAAGAAAGAAGAAGAATGAAAAGAAGAAGATGAAAAGAAGAATGAAGAAGAATGAAAAGAAGAAGAAGAAGAAGAAAAGAAGAAGAAGAAGAAGAAGAAGAAGAAGAAAAGAAGAAAGAAGAATGAAAAAGAAGAAGAAGAATCTTCATTCTTCTCATTCTTTCTTCTTTTCTTCTTCTTCTTCTTCTTCTTCATTTTCTTTCATTCTTCTTTTCTTTTCTTCTTCTTTCTTCTTCTTCTTCATCCTCATCTCTTCTTCTTTCTGAGGATGAGGATGAGGATGAAGAAGAAGAAGAAGAAGTAGGATGAAAATAAGAAGAATTCCAAGCCGGCAAAAAGTGTATCTGCAGAGCTCCTCTATTCTGCAGATACACTTAGAGGAGCTCTGCAGATACACTTTTTGCCGGTTTGGAATTCTTCTTTATTTTCATCCTTCTTCTTCTTCTTCTTCTTCATCCTCATCCTCATCCTCGGAAGAAGAAGAAGAGGAGGATGAGGAATGATGAGAAGAAGAAGAAGAAGTAGGATGAAAATAAGAAGAATTCCAAGCCGGCAAAAAGTGTATCTGCAGAGCTCCTCTATGTGTATCTGCAGAATAGAGAACTGTCAGAAATAGAGGAGCTCTGCAGATACACTTTTTGCCGGCCTACTTCTTCTTCTTCTTCTTCTTCTTCATCCTCATCCTCAGAAGAAGAAGAGAGGAGGATGAGAATGAAGAAGAAGAAGAAGTAGGATGAAAATAAGAAGAATTCCAAGCCGGCAAAAAGTGTATCTGCAGAGCTCCTCTAAGTGTATCTGCAGAATAGAGGAGCTCTGCAGATACACTTTTTGCCGGCTTGGAATTTCTTCTTATTTTCATCTCTTCTTCTTCTTCTTCTTCTTCTTTCTCATCTCTTCCTCAGAAGAGAAGAGGATGAGGATGAAGAGAAGAAGAAGAAGAAGAAGAGAAGTAGGATGAAAATAAGAAGAATTCCAAGCCGGCAAAAAGTGTATCTGCAGAGCTCCTCTAAGTGTATCTGCAGAACTTAGAGGAGCTCTGCAGATACACTTTTTGCCGGCTTGGAATTCTTCTTATTTTTTCACTTCTTCTTCTTCTTCTTCTTCTTCATCATCATTCTCAGAAGAAGAAGAAGAGGATGAGGATGAGAGGAGAGGAGAAGAAGAAGAAGAAAGAAGTAGGATGAAAATAAGAAGAATTCCAAGCCGGCAAAAAGTGTATCTGCAGAGCTCCTCTAAGTGTATCTGCAGAATAGACACTTCTTCTTCTTCAGCTATCATAGAGGAGCTCTGCAGATACACTTTTTGCCGGCTTGGAATTCTTCTTATTTTCATCCTACTTCTTCTTCTTCTTCTTCATCCTCATCCTCAGAAGAAGAAGAGGATGAGATGAGGAATGAGAAGAAGAAGAAGAAGTAGGATGAAAAAATAAGAAGAATTCCAAGCCGGCAAAAAGTGTATCTGCAGAGCTCCGCTAAGTGTATCTGCAGAGGATCCGCTATTTCTGACAGTTCTCTGACATTCACTCCATACAGCGGTTGAAACATTGTATCTATTTGTTTCCATAAATGGAAACAAATAGATACAATGTTTCAACCGCTGTATGGAGTGAATGTCAGAGAACTGTCAGAAATAGGCTATTTCTGACAGTTCTCTGACATTCACTCCTCAACCGCTGTATGGAGTATTGAATGTCAGAGAACTGTCAGAAATAGCCTAGCCGCTATTTCTGACAGTTCTCTGACATTCACTCCATACAGCGGTTGAAACATTGTATCTATTTGTTTCCATTTATGGAAACAAATAGATACAATGTTTCAACCGCTGTATGGAGTGAATGTCAGAGAACTGTCTGTCAGAAATAGGCTATTTCTGACAGTTCTCTGACATTCACTCCTTACAAGTGTATTGAGGAGTGAATGTCAGTGAACTGTCAGAAATAGCCTATTTCTGACAGTTCTCTGACATTCACTCCTTTTGCCGGCTTGGAATTCTTCTTATTTTAATCCTACTTCTTCTTCTTCTTCTTCTTCATCTTCATCCTCATCCTCATCTTCTTCTTCTGAGGATGAGGATGAGGATGAGGAGAAGAAGAAGAAGAAGTAGGATGAAAATAAGAAGAATTCCAAGCCGGCAAAAAGTGTACTCATCCTTCTCCTTCTTCTTCTCATCCTTTCTTCTTCTCATCCTCTTCCTTCTCATCCTTCTTCTTCTCATCCTTCTTCTTCTCATCCTTCTCTTCTTCTTCATCCTTCTTCCTTCTTCTCATCCTTCTTCTTCTTCTCATCCTTCTTCTTCTTCTCATCCTTCTTCTTCTTCTCATCCTTCTTCTTCTCCTTCCTTCTTCTCATCCTTCTTCTCATCCTTCTTCTTCTCCTTCTTCTCATCCT